ATAGAGATGGCGATCGACTCGCGGAAACTCAGTTGAAGTTTGGAAACAAACCGACGATTAATGCGAAAGTGAGTCAAACGGTTACTCTTAATCCGACACAAAAGGCACAGAAAATCATAGGAATCGGGGGTTCGATGACAGACAGCACCGGATTCAACATCAGAGCACTTCCTGAAGCCCTTCAGAACCACTTAATTAAAGACTACTTTTCCAATGAGGGACTCGAATACAACTTAATCAGAGTTCCCATCGGAGGCTCAGACTTCTCAACCCATGCATACAGTTATGATGACAACCATAAGGATGACTTTGAGTTAACACATTTCAATCTCACTGATGATGACCGCAATTATAAGGTTTATTTCTATTTTTTATAAAAAAAAAGTTAAATATATTTAATTATTTTATTTTTAAAGATACCTTACATGAAATCTGCATTAAAAGTGAGTCCCCATAAAATTAAATTCTTTGGGAGTCCGTGGGCAGCCCCTGCCTGGATGAAAAATAATAGTGAACTGGTTCATGGCGGGTACCTCATTGGACAGCCGGGTGAAAAATATTATAAGACCTTTGCCAAATATTTCGTTAAGTAAGTATATGCAACATTAATTAGCTTGTCTTTCTTATACTAGAGATAAATTTATAACTTGTTTGGAGATCACTGTGTAATTCATGCTAATCTGTTTATATAATTAATATGGAGTTTGTACTGTATTTTCTATTTATTTTTTATTATTTATCCATTTAAAATGAATCGTACAATTTATAAACTATAATATATTTTCTGTTACACATACAGTTGATAATAATATCAATAACAATTTTTACATTATACAGATTTCTCGATGCTTATAAATCAAATGGCCTGGATATATGGGGCATTACTATAGAGAATGAGCCCAAAGCCGGCAACACAAAGACTTAGGGGTCATTCACAAAGTACGTACGCAAAAATTTGGTCAAAAATTGACCCCCCCTCCCCCCTAGTTGTTCATCGTACGCATATCACGACCCCTCCCCTCAAGCGTACAT